GTCACAACATTTTATAACTCGTACCTCGGATCTGGAGCCAATCCGGTTCAAACGTTACGACGGTTTAGGAAAAATTAGTCGTAAAACCGTCGTAACGTTACGATAATATTACGACGGTTTTACGATGTTTATTTAAAAAGTTATCAAACCCTAAATCTTTCAAAAGGCTTTTTACATAAAGAACAATGCAAAGGTTATTGTATCCTAACATATAACAAAAGGTTTATAACTTTGCATGTATGACGGATTGAGTACATGAGATAGTAAATATTGAAATTCCGTAATCTAATATATAACCTTTTACTTAACATTTACGAAAAACATGCATGAACTTGTTAATATGTATGTTTTTTTTCAAATTTTTGATTTTGATCAGATTGATAGCTTTTCATATAAAATAAGATAACCAATCAAAAACATTTGTGAAATACCTTACAACCAATAAGATATAAAAGAATCAAAATCTTGGATTTTAGTATTACGACGATTTTACGACTAAATAGTGAACGCGTCGTAAAATCGTCGTAATATTACGACGCTATTACGACTGGTCGTCGTAAAGACGTCGTAATGCTTAAACCCTATTCATTTAGGGCTTAAAACCTAGACTTAGGGTTTAAGGTTTAACAAAATCGTCGTACAACCGTCGTAAAATCGAATTTTTTCCATTTTAAAAACTCGAACAAACAAAGTTACAAATTACATAATAACAAACATTCACTAAATACGATGCATGAAACTCAATCAGATTCATCTTCCTCTATTACTTCGTCACTATCACCTTCGTCTTCCGCCAAATCGTCATCATCAGTTTCAGCAAACTCATCATCACCTTCTTCTTCTGTATCATCGGGAAGATCTTCAACTTGCCTGTTCCGAGGGTCTATTAAGAAAATCTCCTCATCAACATCTGGTTCAGACAGATCTACGCAAGTGTCCTGTTGAAGTGGAACATCCTCAACCCCTAGCATTGTCTAACAAATCCTTGGCTGATTAGCATTGTCTAACAAATCATAAAATCGTTTGGCATCTACATTAGGTTCCTCAACAGCATTACCAGTATGCGTTTCATGAAATGCATCAGTTACCATCTCATGCATCCTATCATGATCTACACTTTGATCAGATTGATACTGATTAGGCTGATGACCATAATTCGATTCATCAAAATCAACATGGCTTTGATAATTACTACTACTACCAGCATTCCCATGAGTATTACTGCCATATCTTTCTCCATGTAGATACCAAACAAAATATTGCGGCATAAACCCTCTATTTAATAAATGCGTCCACACGGTTTTGGTTAGTGTATACCTTGTATTATTGCATTTCAAACAAGGACAAAACATATTCCCGCTATCTTTCGTTCTCTCCATATTTGTAGCCTGATACATAAATATTTCTAACCCGTTCTTGAACTCTTCTGTCAACGCCTCATCTGAATCTTTACGCATATACATCTAACTTCTTAGCTCGTATATAGACATCTTGAAATAAACTAAAAATACTATCTCTTTTTATTGATTACACAATAAAAAAGCTGGTCTCTTGTGTCACGTCTAGCCACGTGAATGGAGTAAATTAACCTTTTATTCAAAGTAAATAACTACTAATTCGGGTTTTCAGCAATGGACAACCCAATATATAAGGATTTACAACACTATACTAAAATTGAAGAGACCTACAATGGGCCTCCAGGATGATGATGCTCTTATATTTGAATGATGATGTGTTGTGATTGAAAGAATGAATGAAGATCTATTTATAGGAAAATTTCGGGCTTTACGACGCTTTTACGACGACTTTTTACGACGATTTTACATTCAACAATAATATTACGAGGATTTTACGTCGATTATGCGATAAAATCTTTCATCTACATTAGTTAGGTAAACATGTTTTAAATGTTCTTCACCTAACTTCTTTGTCGACGTAAAATCGTCGTATCGTTTACATCTATTTTACGACGATTTTGTGATTAATATCAAATCTCTTGTTATCGATGTATATTAGTCGTAATTTGTCGTAAATTGTACGTCGAAGTTACGACGATGTTTTTATACGACGGTTTTACGATGGTTTTTTAATGTGACGTAAAATCGTCGTAATATCGTTGTAAGTTTGCGACGACTTTAAAACCGTCGTAATGGATCGTTGGAAAACGATTGTTTTCTTGTAGTGCCAACTCTAAATTCCCTGGGTCGGATGGATACACATCGAAATTTTTAAGGGAGCTTGGAAAATTATTGGTGACGACGTCACAACTGCTACACAGTCTTCTTCCGATTTGGATTCCTCCAAAAAGGATTAAACTCCACTATCTTGGCTTTAATCCCGAAGAAGAATGATGCAAAGGAGATGAAGGACTACAGACCGATATCATGTTGCAATGTTCTCTACAAGATAATCTCAAAAATTCTAGCAAACTGATTGAAGACAATTCTTCCTAACATCATTGCTCCAAACCAATCAGCATTTGTAAAAGATCGTCTCCTTGTTTAGAACGTCCTCCTTGCTTCTGAGCTAGTCCAGAACTACCACAAAGACTTGGGTTCACCCCGCTGCGCTATGATGATAGACATTGCGAAGGCTTTCGACACAGTACTATGGGATTCCTCTTAAATGTACATGAAACAATTGGACTTCCTAGCCGGTTTATTGGATGCAAACAATTGTGCGTCTCAACAGTCTCCTTCTCTGTTCAAGTAAATGGAGAGTTAGTAGGTTATTTCCAGAGTCAGCGTGGATTACGTCAGGGTTGGGCACTCTCGCCACATTGTATGAACGTTTTATCCTGCATGCATGATAAAGCAGCTGAAAGGAGAAGATTTGGCTACCATAAAGCTTACTCACCTGTGTTTCGCAGATGATCTTATGGTATTTTCGGATGGCAAGATACGATCGTTAGAAGGAATTGTTGAGGTTTTTGATGAGTTTGCTGCTGCTTCGGGGCTCAAAACAAGCTTGCAGAAATCAACAATTTACATGGCTGCTATCTTTGAAGGGGATCGATTGAGCATTACTGAGCAATTCGCTTTGACCTCTGGTACACTCCAGGTTCACTATTTGGGCCTCCCTCTGATGACAAAAAAGATGACTAAAGATGATTACGCTGTTATAGCAGAGGTTCAAAAGCGTATAGGATCTTGGACTGTACGGCACATATCTTATGCAGAAAGACTTCAGTTACTGGTCTCAGTAATCTTGGGAATACTAAACTTTTGGATGTCTGCCTTCCATTTACCGCAAAGTTGTATCAAGGAGATTGACTCGATATATAGTGATTTTTGTGGTCTGGTCCATCCCTAAACACAAAAAAAAAAAAGGTTTCTTGGTCAGATGTTTGTAAGAAAAAATCTGAGGGAGGTTTGGGATTACGATCAAACACTGTCTGCTGTTTACGGATTGTCTGGCGGGTTCTATCGAGTAAGAAGTCCTTGTGGGCATCGTGGATCAGGGCATATCTGTTGTGCGGGAAATCTTTTTGGTCACTCAATGAGAGGTCTACGTACGCCTTCTTAAGATGAGAGATCTAGCTAGAAGTCTTCATCGCATAAAAGTTAACAATGGGGAGGAAACTTCCTTTTGGTACGACGAATGGTGTTCTCTGGGGCCGCTAATAAATGTCACGGGCACATCTGAATTCATCGCTCTGGGTATCTCAGCTTTCGCATCTGTTGCATCTGTTCTCCGTTCTCACGGACGAAGACGACACAGGTGTGACAAGCTCAATTCCATTAAAGACACTCTCTCTTTGGTTGCAACGCGTAAGAATACAATGGATGACCAGCATACGTGGAAAAATAGGGAGATCACTACCATAACAGATTCACTTCAAAGCACACTTGGTACAACATCAGATATCCACCACCTCCAAAAGCTTGGAGTTTGATGGTCTGGTTTTCGGGCAACACGCCCAAATTTGCTTTCATTACTTGGATAGCAATGTGGAATCGGTTACCAACAGGAGAGATAATGGCTCAATGGTGAATCGGTATACCTACATCATGTACTCTATGCTCCACTCCAATGGAAAACAGAGCACATATATTCTTCGCGTATGCTTATTCGAAACAGATATGGCGGAACTTAACCCAGAGATTACTTGGTCATCGATACACAAATGACTGGGATGAGATTGTGACTTTACTATCGTCGAATACCTTGGACAGGATCTGGCTTTTATTGGTGAGATATGTTTTTCAAATCACTTTTACACTGGTTTGGCGGGAAAGGAATGGCCGCAGGCATGGAGAAATTCCACAACTGGTATCATTACGGCTTGTCGGTTTACAGATCTGGTTTGGGTCTAGAGGGTAACAACACAGAGGAGAAAACTTGTTTACTCTGTTTCTTTGAGAAGATGATCATATTTCTTTACTTTCTTTTAAACAAGTAAATGTAAAGAAAACAGTTTTTTTTTAGAATATAATTTAATATATTTTCAAAAAAAAATAATAGTAAATTACTCGATATCTAGAAGTTACTCTTTTTGTAATATCATTTACAAAGAAGTGTTTTTATAGGTAAATATCTCTTTCTTATTAACATTTTGTAGAGAAAGAACGCCATTTTAAAAACTTCTGTACTGCAAAATTCACCATTAGAATTTTAACCAAATATTTTTCACAATAACAAACATTACAACAATCCAACATATTTTTTTAACAAACATGCATTCCAACTTCAATATCACATTTTGTTAGTGAAAGCCTTAGCAATCATTGGAAGGAACACTCTATAAATAACAAATTTGAAGATTCATGAGAAAGTAAACCAGCAAGGATATATAATTGCGAGCTAACGTGCTTTTGGGAACACCTCGGTGTAATTACCCATGCTGAATTCCATGGAACTTTTCGATTCCATGTCCCGACTCTCTCCTATCCTTGAGTATTCGGATATCAGACATTCTTTTAGATCAGTGGCAACTCGAGACATGGTTGGTCTTCCTGCAGAAGAAGGACTCACACAAGACATTGCTACTTCAATGGCCTTCCAGACAGAACCAATGTCATAATTTTGGTGGAGGTTTGGATCCATAATGTTTCTAATATCTCCTTTTCTTATCATATAGCTGATCCATTCTACCAAGTGAGGCTTCTCACGGGATTGCTGAATTATGGGTTGGTTTGTAATGATCTCCAATAATACAATTCCGAAACTGTATATATCACTCTTTTCTGTCAACCAATTTGTTTGATAATACCTGCATAACATGGCATACAAAAATGAAACATAAGAGATTGTTTGTGATTATCAAGTATCAAAAGGGACAGTGATTTGTGTAAAGTGAAATAGAACTCACTCGGGATCAAGATATCCAGGAGTGCCAGCAACAACTGTTGACACATATGTTTCATTTCCAGTGGGAAAAGATCTTGAAAGCCCGAAATCGGCTAGTTTGGCTTGGAAGTTTTGGTCCAAAAGTATGTTTGTAGTTTTGATATCTCTATGGACCATTGGTGGTATGCATCCGGTGTGTAAGTACTCCAATCCTTCTCAACAAATCGAAATTCAGTCATTTCTTGGCAAATGATGAATTATTGAATTAAGTGTTTGAAACATTACCTAACGCTGCATCCACAGCGATTCTAAGTCTATTCTCCCAGCTCAGAACAAATCCACCACGCTTCCCTGTATTAATCGAACATAAATAACAAATTGTTCAGGATAAGATCTTTGTTACAAAAAAAAAAAGATTAAGACATCATATAGTTTTTCTCAATATTTTCTGAAACCTGACAAATGTTGCTTTAAGTCCCCATTTGGCATGTACTCGTAGATGAGGGCCAAGTGGTCTCCTTCATCACAATACCCAACAAGACTCACCAAATTTATATGGTGCACTCTCATAAGCAATTCCACCTAACGAACTGATCCATCAGCTAAACGCTCTTGAAAGAATATGAGGAGATATATAAACATGTATTAATTAAATCATCGAGCAAAAGAGTACCTCTGCTTTGAAATGCTTATAGCCCTGAGATGATGAATGGGAGAGCACTTTAATAGCTACTTGTTGAGTACGATTAACAAAACCGTGATAAACGACTCCAAAGCCTCCTTCGCCGAGAGCTCTTTCAAAGTTATTTGTCATTTCTTGAACCTCAAGAAAAGTAAACCTAATCTTTTTCGATAGGAATGATGATTCTGACTGACTAGTGTGCCCAACATCCCCTACTGGCATACTTGGTGGAGCAGGTAAGTCTACGCAGTAAAATGTTTAGTTTTGCAATATATATTTTATGAATTCTCTCTAATGATTATATGGTTATGAGAAGTACCTGAAGGCACCTTCTTCTTTCGGAAAACAAAAATAAGAGCCACGATCACCACTACAACTACAAGCAGAGAGGCAGCTGATGCAATAACCGGAAGCAAGAATTTTTTTTTCGCTTTTGGGTGGCATAAACTAGATTTGCACAAATCTGGATTTCCTTCAAGTCTACAAGAAACATGAGATATATTGAAGTACATAACCTAAAGTCTTGCAAGTCTCATAATATGGTTTTCTTTTCTTCTCGAGATTGTATTAATATCTCCCGCTATGTGTTATCTTCAAATCCCAAGTATTTTTTTAGGCATGTAATTTCTGTATAGGAGCTACCATTTCTACTCAATTTCTATATATGTAATTAACAAATAATATCGACAGTGGAAAAAAGAACCTTACTTTAACACAAGTCCTTCCGTTACTCTATCAAGAAGAGCCTGAGGAACTGAGCCATTGAGATTGTTCCAACTTAAGTTTCTGTTGATACGAACATGACTATAATTATATATATAAGTTACACACACACACACACACACACAAAAAAAAATCATGATAATATAGTGCTCATCCTGCTTTCTCTAGAAATCTTACATCACGGACAAAGATTTCATGCTGGCAAGAAAACGAGGAACTGGTCCAGTCAAATTGTTATTCGATAAGTCCCTGCATTTGTATGCGCAGATATAAAAATAGTTGGCTTACATGTCGTGTCTAAGAAATATCATTCATGGTTAAATAATTCAACAAAAGAGACACTTACAGTTCTTGTAGTTGTGTCAGATTCTGTAAAACTGGAGCTATTCTCCCTGTTAATCCACTCTCTGACAACTTTCTAATTATAAAGGCAAAAAAACACTTAAGAAAAAATTATTTGGATACATTAATTTAACATTAGAGAGAAAGGCTTTGTGTATGGCCTTACAAGGAAACGATTCTTGGTGGTGTGGAAAGATCTACGTAAGTGCATCTAAGTTTTTCCCACAACAAATCTTTTGGGAGACATGGATCT